AGCTCCATTTCAGAGGCAGGGGGTGAAGTTAGTGGGCCCCTTGCTGGGAGACAGGGACAGACTTTCCATTGCCAGGGGAGGGGAGTCCCTGGGGACAGGGTTTTGTTTCGGAGCTGGGGACTTGAAAAGCTCTTTGCGGATCCTCCGCAGGCTCCAAGGCTGTCTCCTCCGCTGGTAGTTCCTAAGCTCGGCCCGGAAACCCTTGTGCCGCATGTGGACGTAGCCCTGGGGCTCGCAGAGACCCTGGAAAGAGAGAGCGTGTGATACTTGGCTAAAGCCGGGGGCTGGGAGCCAGGACTCCTGGGTTCTGTCTCCAGCTCCGGGAGTGCAGTGGGGCCTAGTGGCTAGGGCCAGGGGGCTGGGAGCCAGGACTTGGGTTATGCCACCCCTTCCCCTGCAACACCCCCACGGGCACCTGGAAGTGCTGATAGAACTCCTTGTAGCCGCCGCGCAGCACGTACAGCTCTGGATACCAGAGCTCCGGGTACTGGTTGGCATCTCGGTCCATTCTCCTCAGGCTGCGGCACCTGCACAATCACAGAGGGGTTTCACCGCTGCCCCCCGGTCACCTAGGGGGCACAGGACGGGGCAGGGGTGTGCGAGTCTGCTTGGCCAAAGTGAGCTCAGAAGGGACTGGGGGGCACTGTGGAGTTAGCCAGTGAGACTAGTCAGCCCCAGCTGCTAGAGCCAGGCATGGGCCTAGCCCTGAGAGGACACCACCATGGGGGGGATCAGCAACCTCGGCCTGCCCCTGCTGCACCCCAGCCATGGCTGCCCTGGGGCCCCCGCTGGACAGCACTCCAGGGATGGGAGCTGGGCACGCCCTGTGTGGGGGGACACTGCAGCGCCCCCTGTTGGGAGGGACATGGGCCCCTCCCTGTCAGAGAAAGGGCAGGGGGCTGAGGAGGGAGGAAGTGAGGCAGTTGGGAGGGGCCTCAAGGCACCTACAAGCGGGGGCCTCTCTCCGAGGAGAACTCGCAGTGGAAGATCACGATGCTGCTGCGGGGGCACTGGGTCGTGCCCAAGGGACCTGGCAGGAACCACGGCGCCAGCTGCTCTTCTCGGTACAGATTCAGTGCTCCCTGCAGGAGAGCGAGGGCATCTGAGGGGTGTGGGAGCACAGGCAGGGCCAGGGCTCACCGCTGCTCCCAGGCTGGGCTGGGGGCGCATGGTCACCCCTTAGAGGTGGTCAGTGCGGGACAGGCAAAGCGCCGTGTCCCTCCCCAGGCAAAACCACCGGGCAGCCCAGCATCCTGCACGATGCCTTTAGAAACGGAATAATTGAAGAACTTCTC